GCTGCTCTGTAATTGTTTGCTAGTTCTTCTTGCATCTTAGACTTGAATCCCCAAACTTGAAAGACTTGCCCAGATTAGGAGCTTAAATGCATTGCTTTTGAAACACCTTTTATATAACACCACATCCCTGACCCCTCTCCCCTTGAAGATGATCAACCTTCCCATAACACAGTCAGTAACAGCTATCATCATTATGAAATGACAGTTTGGTTGCATTGGCTCCCACTAGTTAACATATGACATAAGCAGACTGAAGGACACATGCTGGGGTCAGCACGAGGCTGCAGCCCAGCCCAGCAGGCATGCATGGTGCAGCTGCCCAAAGCAGCAGTGCTGACAGGAGTGCAGCTGCATGAGAGGTGGTTTCAGCTGTGTGATGCTGTTTCTGTGCCCTGTTCCAGGCAATGAAAGCTGACACCCCTTTGTCCCCGGTGCACTGAGGATGTACTGAATGCTTGGTGCTGAGGGCTGTGCTGTTTGTGCCTGTCCAGCCTGTCACTGAGTGCTGGGGCTTCTAAAGTGTAGGTTATTGCTCAGACTGCTCTAGAAATGGACTGATTCCTATGGCTGATGTTTTGAAGAAGAAGGATTTAGTCTTTGTAGGGTGTTTCCTTCCTGCACTTGAAGGGAGCTTCCAAGGAGGAAAAGGACCAACTTTTTACAGTCTGATAGTGACTGCAGGACAAGGAGGAATGGCTTTAAAGTGAAGGAGCAGAGATGTGGGTGAGCTGTGAGGAAGCAATCCTTTGGTCAGGGCGGTGAGGCGCTGGCGCTGCTGCCCAGAGAGCTGTGGGTGCCCCATCCCTGCAGGCACTCCAGGCCAGGTGGGATGGGGCCCTGGGCAGCCTGAGCTGGTGGGGGGCAGCCCTGCCCACGGCCGGGGGTGGCACTGGGTGGGCTTTGAGCTCCCCTCCAACCTGAGCCATGCTGTGGTTCTATGATTCTGTTTCAAAGGACTCTGTGAAAAGCGATGGGAAAAAACACAACTGCCTCAGTAAAAATGCCAGATAGTGGGTTACATTACATGCGTGGTTGTATTCTTGAAAGCTCAGCTACAATTGACCAAGCACACTTTCACATGATTTTGTAAGATTAACAACTCAAAGGTCGTATCTATATTACATTGCCATTAAATTCAGAACCAAACTTGCAATTCAGATTGTGAATGAGCAGCAGAACGTTGGAGATAGGCAGAAATAATGGAGTACTGAGCTGCCCTTCAGCAAGGGGAACAATTTCTGACTTCAGCATGGCAGAGCACAGCCAAACAACAACAAGGTGTGAGCAGCAGCACGCCATGAGCCTTTGTTTGACGCTGCTGCCACAGAAGCTGAACGCTGCTGGCACAAACGGAGTCCCAGGTCAGTGAATGAACCTCTTCACTTCGCGAAAGCAGCATAAAACAGAAAATGTCAATAAAGGTTTGATCTTACCAGTGGGAGCAGACATCGCTGGAGGTTTATGTGGAGGAGCTGGGTAGATCTCAGGGCTTGCAACATTAAGTTCAGTTAATCCAGAGTCTGGCAGCGATGGGCTTTGTTGAAAATGCCTTTTGGGACTGGCAGTTTCCCCAGGCTGCGGAGATCCCTGGCCTGGACTGTAGCCACAGCTTTCATTTTCAGTGATGTTTTGCTTGACCAGTAGCTCAGGGCTCGTGCAGACTGTTTGCAGCATTACCTCTGCGTGCGTAGAAGAGAGCTGAGAAAGGAAGGGTGGGAATAAAACCCTGCTGAGCTGCAAAAGAAAGAAGTATCCAGTTTCACATCAAGAACATGACAGCTGTGTTTAACTCTCCATCGTGGTTAGGCCCAACTCCCTCTTCTGTTCCTCAAAGCGAACTGTAGTGGCTGCAGAATAAAGGCAGTCCTTGCAAACTGCCTGGGAGAGTTTCTTGGCTCGCTCTTTATAGTCAGGCACGGCCCAAAGGACGTCAGCATGAAGGTCCCACCCTCTTTCCCAACGATCTGCAGCAGCAGCTGATGAAGAAATGGCTTTTCCCAAGAAGAGTCTGAGCACAAGCAGATAAGAGCTCTTCCTTAGATAGAAACCATGAAAATCTATTTGATTTAATGCAAATAGCATGGGGAGAGAAAGAGACCTCTGAATGGACTGATAGATTGGACAGTGCAGATGAGCTCTGAATCCAGTGCTTTGTCAGTTCCTTTGTCGGAAACAAAAAACAAAGCAGTTTTCCAAATCTGCAAAAGAGGAACTTACAGAAGCCAAAATAATCTTCCCCTAAGCACAAAAATCCAGCTAAGGAAACACCCCCCCCACCTTCTGGTAGCTTTGAGTCTATGAAGAGTGAAGTGCTGCATCATAGAACCACAGAATATGCCCCGTTCAGGATTTTGGTGTTTCTGCCTGTGAGGATTTGCCTGTTTCATTTTTGGCAAGGAGGGATGTTAAGTATGTGATGGGCACAGTTACTGGAACTCACATGAAGAATCTATCCGGACGAATCCTCTTCTTGCGGGAAGTCCATTTCCTGAGGCCACCAGGAGACCTCAGTGCAAGGTTTAAACTCTGTTCTCGTGTCCCTGGGAAATCCCTTGCAGTTCACACACCTACTTGAGGGCAGTGACGCTTCAGTTGAAACAGGTACTTCCCCCAGGTAGTTTGTTGGGAAGGCTGCAGACTTCATCCGAGGCAGCAGCTCCCTTAGCTGTGTCCTGCACAGCACTCCTCTCCTAAGCAGAATCACCCTGTGTGCCTGATCAGGAAGCAGACAGCCTTTCTGCACCAAGTTATGAGAACTGCGTTACGAACAGCTTTCGTTTAAATTGGGCACTGGCTGCTCTCTACAGACTTGCACAACCCTCATGTCCCATTTCCTCTGTGCTGTTGCAACTCCAGACTTAGGAATATTGGCAGAATTATTCAGGCAGTGCTCACAACTAGATCTGGTGTTTGTAAAGTGGGCATGGAGTCAGGTACCAAGATGGTGGCATTACTGCATCATAAAACACGACTGCACGGTGGGGAGGCAGGGCTGACAGACCCATTTCTTTGCATGGCTGCCCATGGTCTCAGCTAACAGAGCAAAGCAGATCTCTTGCTGTGAAATCCTTGGGGCTCTGTAGGTGTTGTCTGGAGCTTAAGGACATATAATGGGCCATTGCTCCGGTCCCTTGGTGGACTGTAACCAGTTTGCCCCAGGGAAGCGATCTGTAAAAGGATATTTCAGGGGTTAGAGGATTATTTACCTCTCTAACAATGACCCAGCCACAAAAAGTAATGATTATTCTTAACTAAGCACGTATTCTGCTCTGCCTCAAAAAGTATTTCCCTTCTGTCTCACCCGGTTTGCCTTGTAGGTTGTGTGAGCCTAGGATGAGCTGGAGCTGGGATCTGCTCCTGCCTTCCTTCCTGACAAGAAGCAGTTTGTTCTTCTGTGAACATCAGTGCTCTCATCAGAGGGATGATGCATCACTAGAGAACTGATCAACGCTTGTATAGGTGGGAAAGTTTGGCTGACTGCAAACAGGAAATTGCTGCAATGAATCACTGCATTTATTGGGTTGTAAATCAGACTGGAGATTTCTCATCTTCCTATTCTCTTCCATACTCCGATCCGTATATTGGACAGTTGTCATGCTTATTTATAACATGCTACTGCATCCACAGTGAAGACAGGAATTAGCCTGGCTTTATGACACAGAGAGGACCAAAACATATTCCTGTAGCCAGGAGAAGAGAAGCAGTTTTGCATAACCAGCAACAGAAACCTTGGAATGTGGCCCCTGCAAGAAACTGTCTCCAAGGCTTTGAATTTAACTGGGAATCTTGTGGTTCTTTTCCTTCCAAATTCAACAGGTACCTGATATTTTATGCAAACACTTCAGCATTGCAAATTCATGTACCTCTTATGAGTCTTATTCTACAAACATTACTAAAATCAGCCCAAATTGGAGACCAGCTGTCCACTCACAGCTGCACTGCTGTCCTGTTTCACTCGCGATTTTGCATTTGGACTGACTAGGAATGCCACTGGTCATGTTCTCCTGCAAACACCATGGCAAGGCAAGTTTCAGCATGCACAGCAAGCAGAGAAATTGTAAATAAGGCTTTCTAGGATCTGTAAGTACTTCTTCAGATGGTGCCTCTTGAGTCTCACAGCTGCAGGCAGAACTGTTCAGCTTACAGCTCAGTAAAACCTGGGTTGGAAAAAATAGTTTCTAGCTGAGGCATATTTGGTTTTCATCATCTTCCATAGTTGGAGTGATGTAACCCATTCTGTACCATTTAGTTAAGAAAGGGGGAAATGTCTAGCAGAGAGGAAGTATGGAAGTATGGAGGAGGGGGACGTAAGTGTGAGCATTTGGGAAAGTCTTCAGTGGCCACGTGGGGAAGGAGATGAGGTCAACACACAGCTTTGGTCGGCCGTACTTAGAGCAGCCCTGCTCTTTAGGAAGGACTGGTTTGCACTTCTTGTCTTGCTTCCCCTCCTCGTTAAGAAGAATAGCATGCTGGATCTTTGCCATGGGGAGTTTTTTCCTTTCTAAGTGTACATATGTCATGTTCTTAGATAAATGGCCTTCACCATCTGGAAGTTCCAAGTGAATAACTGTACTTCCAGCAGTTCCTTTCTGATTGATTTACAATGGGCAGCTCTGCCAACCGCTCTCCATGTAAACTTTCAGGTTATGCTGCCAGTGGGTGCAGCTCCTTTTATACTTTTGGATGCAGGATGAATGCTCTGTAGCTTCCTTCATCCCTTGTTGCTACATGTCTCCTTAGTGCACACACCCACTTTAACAGCATTTGCTGGGTTAGGTTTTTGTCTGTCTTTCCCTTTCGATGTTGCTGTTTTGCCAACTGTTAACTTGCCTGAGAAATCCTTTGTTGCAAAGATTTCCTCTATTAATACTATTTTGAATATGTAGGAATCAGGAGATGGTGGGATAAATCTGCACTGCTGTAGACAGCGAGCATGGCTCTTTTCCCTGCTTTCACGTGCTTGATCAGAATGTAAATAAAACACAGCCTCTGTATGTGGCTCTCTTTAAAAGCGACCAGTTTATTTTGTAGGTAGGCCTTGAGCTCAGCGAATGCCCAGTGACTTAAAAAGTACTCAATTCAGAACTAGTGCAGAACGTGTGCAGGATTTCTTCTGTTTATCTCTCATGGGAATTGGTGCTCTGGGGCAGAGGCGCTTAGTGAAAAATTGAAGTCATGCTGCACTTCAGATGTGCATTCTTGTCAAAGCCTGCATCCACGCAGGCGCGTGGCTTTATGATGCCTTTATGATGCTGCTCTCCAGCCCGTCTCACATTTTCTGAGTAAACAGGAATAGCTAATTTGCTATGCTGAGACAAGCCACTGGGTAATTGCATCTCGGGTCTCTGCTGACGACGGCTGGCATACGATGCTTCAGAAGGAAACACACTTATAATGAAAGAGGCCGGTGCCGTGCAGTGGAACCCCAACAGCAATTAGTCACGGGGATGACGACGAAGCATGAACTCACCTCACCTCCTGCTGCAGGACAGAGCTGTGTTGCAAACAAAATGGATTTGTCGTTGCAATAGCAGAGTCATTCGGATCGCCCTGAAATCCTTGCTCTAGTAACTGATGTCCTGCTGTTGTGAGGCTCTGAAATCCTTAGATGAAAGATGGGTGTGTTTTCACTTAGCAGTGACTATTTTCTTTTGGTAACCATTCATGCTCTTTTCTACCTTTAGGTGGCAGAAATGGAACATAAGAAATAGGCAAGGTCCATTTTCATATATTGTAAATTCTGAATGCTTTCCATCTTTCCTTTGGAGATGCTGTTTATTGTGGTCTCCTCTATGTTTTCCCTAAGCACAGATGAGCACTCTAACTGGCCTTCACCAACTCTTTCTGTACAAAGGATGGAAAGCAATGATGCTGTTTGCAGCAGCAAAGGGTGTAGAGAATAGAAAAAGGGGCTGTCTAACAAAGGGCAGAGACCTAAAACCCCCAGAGGATATCAGACCTTGCAACACGCTGGGCAGATGAGAATTTCGTGTCAGAGCATGGAATTTATTCCTACATCTGCAGCATACACTCTGTGAGCTTCTGCTCTGCAGCATCAGTGCCACATGGAGTCTGTCATTTGGAAAAGGGAGTTTAATGCTTTATTCCCAGGGGATGAGTCAAAATGGAGCTATTAGGCAGCGTCTGCTATAAATGTGAAGAGTACAACTCTGCTTACAAATGGAGAATAACTCATCAGTATCTATCCAAGGGAGGCCTTTGAAATGCGGTGTGTTGCTTCACAGGTTGCTTTGGTCAAATATCTACGTCCAGCAGCAGGCGCTGATCTGAGAGATGAGGTTTTAAAGTGAAGCTTCAAGTAAAGCTTAATACTTCTGCTTCTGCTGATTGTGGAAGTGTGTTGGATGTGGGGCTCCTGGCCTTCTTCCTTTCAGCCAGAGGCTTGAAATGCTGCAAGAGAAGAATGCATTAGTGCAAAGATCAGATTAGAGTACATGTGTAGCTGTAAATCCGAGCCACTTCAGCACCATATGAGCTGTGTGCTTAGCAGCAAAGCTCCCTTTCTCCATGTTCTGTCTGTGCTCAGCACAGGTACCATGACTTTAGTGGGAAAAAGCATCTGGACTCACGCTGGTTTGCTCAACAATGCCAGGCTTGCAGTAAGTCAGAGGCTCCTTGTGTAATACTGCAACATCAATCCTGGGCTTTCAAGATACTAGGGAAATTAGAACCTTAGAAAATGTTCCGTGGACACTTTTTATGATACTTTACTGTTTATTAGCTCTTCACAAACACAGAGAACGCAGCAAGGCCAAATTTAAGGACTGGATGTCCTTTGCTTCCAGCTGAGTGACCTGTGCCTATCTGGGATTGCTTACCTGGGAGTTCTTGAATTCTGAGTACAGTGAGAAAAGGACGTGCAGAGGCTGGATCCAACTCTTATACACAGGGATGTCCACAATGGCTACAAAAAAAAAGCAGAAGTGTACAGGACTACTCTGCTCTGCATGGAGTGTCCTAGGTCAGCCCTGAACTTCTCACTGCCTCCAATTACTTGGCCTTTGCTCACCTATGACTGCATGCATCTCTGTCACAAGCATCCACTTCCTACTGAAGACAACAGAAAATGGTCTTGACTACTTAGGCCTGAATCTGCATCTGAAAGTCTCCATTTTAATAACAGTGACAGGCCAGCAGTACACTTGTGTCTTCAGCAGTGAATGGTATTCAAGACTAGAGCTGAACTGTGCTGAATATCCAAAAGGGCCAAGTGTACCTACCAAGACTGAGTTGTTCTGTTTTTTTCCTACCTAAGCTCTTAAAAGTGTTGACTGCTCACTATCATCAGCCTGCTGAGCAGAGCAGACAGAACCCAAGCCCATGAAGATGAATAGCAACAAGCTACAGTTTGTCAAAACACCCTCTTTGGACCAGCCTGAGAAACCTCGGTGTCTCTCACAGCTGAACATTTCCTTTCGGTGTCGGTTTCTGTGCTAGGGACAATCAGATAATCTTTAACTGAGGGTAAGAGAGGGAACTTCCTTGCTTACCACATGTCATGTCAACGTATTCAGCCAGGTCACAATTCATTTCTGCAGTTGGGAGGCCCACCTGAAAATGGAGGAGTTGTCAGTTTTGCTCTTGTACAGCAAAGGCCTGAGAGCACGCACTGACCTTGAGCTGAGAACAGGGGCTACCTGGGCAGCAGCCAGGCATTCAGACTTTAGGCTGGTCAGAAGGAAATGATAAGTAAAGAACAAATCTGAACTGAGCGGGGTGCAAACTGGTCAAAGAGGAAGAGAAATCCAGATTTCAAGTGGGATCATTTTTAATGCTATGCCCTGAACTAACTGCCTGACACTTGGATGCCATACCTTTCCCAAGAGCTCCTCAAATTCCGGTAACCACTCCTGCATGAGGGTTTCTATGTCAGGCATGGGCCTGTAAAAGAAGAAGGAAAAAGAGAAACCTTAGGATTGCAGGCCAAGAAGATGAAATGGCTTCCTACTGCAACTGCTGTGAATGAAACAGACCACTGAGAGAGATTTGTATGTCTGCAGAGCATCATTTTATTCATTAAAATAGGACTAAGTTTTTAATCTGTGCTTAGAAACGTGCTAGAACCATCACTTCCTTTGGAGTGAGGCTGAGCTGCTGTGAATTGGAAATCTGGGCAGAAGGGTGTGCCGCAACTGCTGAGACTCAATCCAGGACGTGGTAAAGAATAAGTCTTGACTCCTTTGACTTGTCCAGATCTTCTTTTTACAGAGTATTGATTGCAAGAAGTTGGACGTTGCATATGGGAGCTGTTAGAATTGTTTTGAGGCACGAAGGGAAAGAGAAGTGCAAAGAGGGAAACAGCATCCTGCGCACGTACACAACTACCCTGAAACTCAGCACTTCTCCCTCCCTGAGACATTTTGATCATTCTGCTCAGTGCTCCTGGTCTCTGCCACCCCCTGACCCGATGTTCTGCTGACACAGTGGCTCACCGGCTGTAGTGGACAGTGGCAGGAGGTTTGCAGCGGTGCAGTTCACTGATACTTTCGATCCAGTTGTCAATGGCTTTGGGGTTCTTCTCTGCATTCTCCACACTTTTCACTTTTATCTGCTGCTAGAAACAAAAATATAAACCTGGAAGCACTTTGTGGTGTTTTGTTTTGTTTTTTTTTTTTTTAATACCCTGCGTTCACTCCTGATGAACCATGTGGTTTCACTTTTGTAGTTGTATTTATTTCAGGAGATTTCTTCAGACAGAACAGCAAGTGGGAAACAAAACCAGGTAGGGAGAATAAAAACAAAAAAGAAAAAAGAAAAAAGAAAAAAAAAGCTTAACCTAAAAGAAATCAAAAGATCGTAAGTCTGTTCTGAAACTCGCCTGAGGCAGGGCTTAGTTACATTTCAGTTTAAAGCTATAGGTCAAAAAGGGTTACTTTCTTTTGAAGCCAAGTTATCAGTTGTGTTGTGTTGCTATAGTCCCACAAAGAGTAAAGTGCAATGTCTTCATTCTAGCCAGAGTGCAGTAAATGCCTTCTCTCCCTCCATGACTCACTGTAACGTTGTGCTGTTTGGAATTCTCCGTTAGCCAGAGAGAGAGCACTGTGGGATCTGACTGCTTCGTTGATGGCTCATCTAAGACCAGCAGACCGAGGTTATCAGGCTTGCCATCTGGGCGTGGGACCTGCAGGTAAAACACAGAAGGAATCCTCTGTGGGAGTAGCAGGGGATGCTGAAACTATTCTGTGCCCTGCCTCCCTGTTAGAAATTCAGACTCAGTTCAGGAGGAATTTGTAAGCATGCTGCTTTGAAAGAGCAGAAAATAGGAGTTGTTAGCACAGCGGAACCCAAAACGCATAAGGTGTTGGACAAAGAAACAGGGAATCCTTGCACCAAATGATGGATGTGCTATGTGGGATGTCACCAAAGTGACCAGCCAGGTCACAGCGTTGCTACATGTGATCTCCTAGGTGAATACAACAGGATCTTCTACAGCACAGGGCACCTCACTGCCACCAGGACATTGTGGCCGAAGTCTTGGCTATACAGCCTGCCTGCCAGGCTCATACCAAAGCCACCTGCTGCTTCAGCCTGTGTGGCAGTAGGTACGGGGATACCTGAAAATGTACCTTTAGGAAGGCATCAATGTCTCCAACAGCAGGAATGAAGTCTGGAATAAAAGGCTGCAGTTTGTGCTCAATCTCTATTGTTTTTGGAGTGTACCTGGAGAGAGAAAAACAACGTTATTACACAGTGGGCAACTGACATTTCCTGCCAGACTTACCCTTGAGACACAGGAGAACCTAAGGCAGGCAAAAACACCTTCAACTCACCTCCTTATGTATTCAAAGAGTTCTTTAATTTCAGCAGATACTGGTAGGTAGTCATAATCTGCTAGGTTGTAGTCACTGAAGAGAGAAAGAGAAATTGACGCAGACATTATATGGCTTCAAGCTGTGCCAGGGGAGATATAGGCTGGTCATTATGAAATACTACTTCTCTAAAAGAGTGGTCAGGCACTGGAATGGGCTGCCCAGGGAGGTGGTGGAGTCACCAACCCTAGAGGCGTTCAAGGAACATTTGAATTTTGTGTTGAGGGATGTGGTTTAGTGAGAGCTATTGGTGATGGTTGGGCTGGATGATCTTTTCCAACCTTGGTGATTCTGTGATTACTTCATGTTAGTTTTTGCGCAATAACAAAGGCATGAACACAGATCCAGCTGTGCCCCAAAGCCGTGAGGGAAGCAGAAGCAGGACGGCTCTCACTGAGAGGCTTCCCTGCGTGCACAATGACGCTGAGCCCTTTTTAGCCACGGGCTCCCGGCTCCCCCCGCTGCTCACCCCTCCAGCGGAGCCCCACGATCCTCCGAATCGTCCTCTGAGTCGCTCTCGGAGGAATCGTCATCATCGTCATCATCGTCATTGTCATCGTCGTCCTCGCTGGCGGCGGAGGGTCCCGGCCGGGCCGCCGTTTCCTTCATGGACGGAGGGACGCGGTCTCACCGTGCCGCCCAGCTCCGCTCCTCCCTGCCCGCCCCTCGCGGCCCGGTTACCCCCTCACCCCGTTACCGCCGCCCTCCACGCCGTCGCTCCGCTCTCCCGCGCCGCCGGGCCGCGCTCCCGGGCCGCCGCCTCCCGACCAGGGCGGCTCCGGCCGGCGGGAGCCTCGCGGGCGGTTCGCGCTCCCCACCGCCTCCTCGGTCTCCGGCAGCTCCAGGCTCTCGTCGTATGGCTGGTTCTCCACCGGGCGAGGCCGGGCGGAGGGACGCGGGGAGGCGACGGCGCGGCCCGGCCCGGCCCCGCTCCCCTCGGACGGCCGCCGCTCCGCCATGACGCCGCCCTCCGTCGCCGTGGCGACCGTCTCGGTCGCCCTTCCCCGGCTAGAGCGGCGCCCGCGGCCCGGCCTGGCGGTCGCGGGGCGGTATCTCCCCCTGCCGGTCTGAGCGGGTACTGCCGGCGTCCGCCCTCGGGGCCGCGCTCCGGGTCCTCCCGCCCCGCCCCTCCCCGCGCGCCGTGCGCGGCGCCGCTTCCGGCTGGGGACGTGGCTCGGCGCCGCCATCTTGTGGGGCTGCCCGAGGGGACGCGGAGCGCCGAGGGAGCGAGCGCCGAGCCGAGCGCCGCCGCCATGGTAAGGGCGGGCCCGCCGCCGACCGTTCGCTCACGAGGCCGCTGCCCGTGGTGCTCGGGGGCCGCTGCCGGCCGGCCCGGGACCCTGGAAGCGCGCGGGGCCCGGTAGGGCCTCGCATCGCTCGGCGGCTTCGCTGCGGTTCTTCGGCCACGACCCGGCGGCCGCCCGCCCCGCAGAGCCGCATCTCTGGGCCGCGGTGCACGGCGGATCCGCGGGGCTTTCGGACCTCGCTGCAGCTCTGCGAAGGGCCCAACCACCCCCCGAGCCGTGCAGCCTGGGCAGGGCTGTGCTCCGGCCTCACACGGTGGGCAGGGCCGCTTACGGCGACGGGGGTTTGGGGGACACGGCCTGCGGTGCGCTGGGTGATGGTGATGTGAACGCTGTCATCTTCAGCTGGGCCTCGTCCCTTGCCGCCTGAGGCGGCAGCTCGGGTGGAGGTCATTTGTGTCCCGTTGTCTCTGGGTGACGTGGAGCTGCGAGCTTTCCCTCCCGGAACGGGACCTGCTGCTGCTTGGTGAGATAGCAGAGGCCGAGGTGCTGCTGGAACCAGCGGTGCCATTCTGGACTGAGCAGTTTGGGGATGGAGGCTCGTGCCTCATCTGCTCTCTTCAGGATGTCTTCGACTGTGGGGTCCCTGTGGCCACTCACTGTACAGCAGTTGTGCCAGCTGCTGGCTGCTTAGCTGGCCGTGCTGTTGGCTAGGGTTCATGCTTGAAATCTGCATGCACTGAAGAGCTTCTGGTGCTTTTCTCGTTGTTAAAATGCTGTGAATAAAATTGGCTGGGAAGTTAAAGGATCTTAGCTTTAGAAACTGCTTTATCTTGACTATGTTAATGAAGAAACTCATCTGTGAGTGAAGTATTTCAGGAAGAAGTCGAGGTGGAGAGAATGAGAAAGTGTAAATGGGCAGTTGCCTTACTGCCTTTGTATTGTTGGTGTGATAACATCGGTGAAATGTCCAGGAGAGTCAACCACGTACTGTAATTAATATAATGCTCAATATTTTATTAACCTGGCTTAGGGGACGTGTGGCACTGGGGAAAACGTTCCATTTCAAAACGTTCCAGTGTTTATTGTGACTTTTCTTTTGGGGCTGAACTAACAGACAGTTCAGACCTTTGCCTAAAGCATTGTTGGGGTTTTATCAAACCCCTGCGTATGGAGGAAGAGGTGAATTTGCTGCATGGCCTGAATGTAGGACTGAGAGCTTTAAATGCTGTTAGCACAGAAGGCGGGCTGGAGAGTGTCTGCAGGGAGTAACAAAGGTGGATCTGCTTGTGGAACGGTTAAATTCTTGGTGCTGGTTGCAGAAAGAAGCTTAAAGTCGCATGTTAGGGAAACGAGCTCACTGGGAAGGTAAGGGGTGGTTGGCAGCGATCCTTCCTTTGCACACAACGCTGTGTCAGCTTTGTGGGGCGTCCGCGATGGGCAGAGCTGAGCTGTGTGTGTCCCATAGGTGCTGTTGGCGGCAGCTGTCTGCACAAAGGCAGGGAAGGCCATCGTCTCCCGGCAGTTCGTGGAGATGACCCGAACCCGCATCGAGGGGCTGCTGGCAGCTTTCCCCAAGCTCATGAACACTGGGAAGCAGCACACTTTTGTGGAAACGGAGAGTGTGCGCTACGTCTATCAGCCGATGGAGAAGCTCTACATGGTGCTGATCACCACGAAAAACAGCAACATCCTGGAAGACCTGGAAACACTCCGACTCTTCTCTAGAGTGGTAAGGATCTGCACGTCGGGGCGCTTACTGCAAAGCTCACACATGTGCCCTGAAACAGGGCTGTGATGAGGGAAGCTGGTGGTGAGCTGTTGCTGAAGCGCTCTGCCTCCACCTAACAACTTGATTTTATGCTGCCTGTTCCCCACCTGGAAGTAACTTTAATGTTTTTGTGGTAATTTAGAACTATATCTGAGCAGTTCATGGTTGCCATTTAACTGGGGAGGCCAAAGGGGTGATGCTGTAAATGTAGTGTCAAATATTCTCTATTTTCTTTAGGTAGCAGCTGCTGCCTTCTACAAAGAACGTGGCTTCACCATACGCAGTTGAGAGGCGTAGCTGTACTCTAAATGGATTTCTAAGTAATGAGTTGTTGCAGTTGCTTTTTCATTAACTTCATAATCTATTTCTGTGCAGCTGAAGGATCTTCAGGAAACTAACTAGCATCACAGGGTGTGTTTGTTTTGGTTCCTGGGAATTACAAAGTTAAAACTGTGCTAAAAGACTCCGTAAGTTTTAGCTGAGGAAAATCAAATAGTCACAAAACTCCGTTTCGTTTGTCAACAATGTAAAGGAATGAAAAGGAGCTTCACAGGTGCTGATTGTCACACCTGCATCTGTTCTGAATGTTTTTCCCTACCTAGATCCCTGAATACTGTCGAGCTCTAGAGGAGAATGAGATCTCTGAGCACTGCTTTGACCTGATTTTTGCCTTTGATGAAATTGTTGCCCTGGGCTACCGTGAGAATGTGAACTTGGCGCAAATTCGGACCTTCACAGAGATGGACTCGCATGAGGAAAAGGTGTTCCGAGCTGTCCGGGAGGTGAGAGCAGGAACTGCAGTGCGAGGTGCTCTGGGTGCTGCTGCTTTATGCAGAGGTGCTGCTCTGCTGTGATAAGGGTTGTAAGATGCAGCTTTTCTGTGCACTCAATGCCCGCTCTTAGTTCTGTCAAGAAGTGTTTGTAAGGTGATGCTGTACAGATCAGTTGCAGTGCAGGCTGAGATTGCAAAGCTTTAGCGAGTTTCATCTTTTACTTCAGACTCAGGAACGTGAAGCAAAAGCGGAGATGCGTCGTAAGGCGAAGGAGCTGCAGCAGGCCAGGAGGGACGCGGAGAGGCTGGGCAAGAAGGCGCCCGGCTTCGGTGGCTTCGGCAGCTCGGCTGTGTCTGGGGGCACAACGGCAGCAATGATCACAGAGACCATCATTGAAACAGAGAAGCCCAAAGTGGCACCAGCGCCGTCCAGGTAGGCGTGCAGCTGGCAGCAGGCAGTGCTGTCTGAAGGGCTTCACGTGGCTTCTTCTGAGTCTTCGTGCATAAACAGGTGCTGGAGCAGCTGCTGTGTTTGTGGGTGCAGAAGGGAGCGGTCACATATGGCTGGCGCTGCTGTGCTGTTTGTGCTGGTCAGGTGCTGCTGCGCTCTGGGAATCGAGAGCTTTCTCTGCTGGTCGTGCAAGGAGCATTTTGTACAGTAATTATGGGTTATCTGTATGCCTCCATCTCTGGAGGAAGATAGGGAAGGTCAGGCCTCTCGTGCGTGTCCTCACCGAAGTGAGCTTAATATTGCTGGGACAGTCAGGTCACAGATCTCAAAGGATCAGACTGAGGAAGGATGAAGGTGCTGTGCTGAGCTGACTTGGAGATGTTTGTGTGTTTTGTTTAGGCCGTCAGGTCCCAGTAAAGCTCTGAAACTTGGCGCCAAAGGGAAGGAGGTGGACAACTTTGTGGACAAGCTGAAATCCGAGGGAGAAAACATCATGACTTCTGTAGGCAAACGCTCTACAGAAGCAGCCAAAGTTCTTGCACCACCCATTAATATGGAGAGGTAGGTGTTAGGCTTCTTCTGAAAGCAATCTTCTCACTGCTTTGTGATCTGTGTGCTGCTTTGTTTTAAAAGATGATGGGTAAAATCTGGGAAAGCACAGCCACAACAGAAAGAGATCTTATTTGATTTGAAAGTGCCCTAGTTAGAATTGGATGCACATCCTCTGTTTTGCTCAGATGGGGAATTTTCCTATGCCTTCTGGAATGTGTCTCATTGTTTTTTTTTCCCCCCAGCAGATGAGTTAAAGTAGCTGTCATTTTTTTTGGTTACCCAGATACAAATAGCTCCTGTCCTGCTGCATCTTAGAATACAAGTATTCAGAGTTTCTTTGACATGTAGCAAATCAGAAGCTCTTCTGCTGTGAGCCGTTCTGCTGTGTGGTAGAAGGATTCTGAGTGAACAGCACATGGAGATGCTGTGTTGCTGATGTGGTTTCCACTCCATTCCAGATTTGTGCTCATAGATCCACGTTCCCCTCAGTTGATGATGCATCTGTTGAGCTGTCAGCGTCGTTCTGTTAGGACCATCGTGCTCTTTGGAGCATGTGCTCACGTGGGCTGTCCTTGCTGAACGTTGATTTCTTGTCTTGCTTATCCAGTGTGCATATGAAAATAGAGGAGAAGATTTCCTTGACTTGTGGCCGTGATGGGGGCTTACAGAACATGGAGCTGCATGGCATGATCATGCTGCACATCTCTGATGAAAAGTTTGCACGAATTCGCCTGCATGTAGAAAATGAAGACAAGAGGGGAGTGCAATTACAGGTAAAGTGATTGGTGTGCCATCCTTGTGCTGCCTTCTGGGGCAGAACATCGGAAGTGCTTGAGTGTGTTGGTGTGCTGTGATCTTACCCCAGCCTGTTCAGCTAATGAATGAAAGGGGGAGTGGTCAGCACAGACCGCAGTGTAAATGCTGGGCTGAATCCTGCCAAGGAGGTTCAAGGTCACTTGAGAAATCCGGGCAGAATTTCAGGCTGATAAGAACGTGTGCTATAATAGAGCTTCTGAGCCAGATAGAGAACAAAGGTGTGTTTCTCAGAGGAAGGCACTGGGGGATGTGGACGGCTGTCTCACTGGGACATGGGTTGTCTGAAATACTGGTCAGCCTGAGGCTTGAAGTCACCGCATGGCTGACGCAGCCTCGGCTTTTGTCCCTGTTTCAGACTCATCCGAATGTGGACAAGAAGCTGTTCACTGCAGAGTCACAGATTGGTTTGAAGAACCCAGAGAAATCGTTCCCTGTTAACAGTGACGTGGGTGTGCTGAAGTGGAGGTTGCAGACGACGGAGGAGTCCTTCATTCCACTGACCAGTGAGTGCGGGGCGGGCGGGAGCTCAGCTGGAAGAGCTGGGTGTCCATCTGTGAGCTGCCTGCTTGCACCTGGCCTTGCAGCAGCTGGGGTGGCTCTGCAGTGAGGTGCTTTGTGAGGTTGAAGGGGTGGAGACTTCTCTGTGCCTTCCTCTGGATAAAAGCTGTTGTTATTACCAATGTCTGTTTTCCATTCTCGAAGAGAGCAAAGATTTTATTTGACAGAATTTCTTAGTTAGAGTTTTACTTTGCTTTTCAAAGTAGGAAACCTTTTGCAAGCCCGTTCCTCCTACAAAGGTTGTATATTTTCTCCTACTCTCAGTTAACTGCTGGCCATCGGAAAGTGGGAACAGCTGCGATGTTAACATTGAATACGAGTTGCAGGAGGAGAGCCTAGAGCTGAACGACGTGGTCATCATGATCCCTCTACCGTAAGTGACGCCCCGTGCCCGGCCCTTCGTGTGTCCTGTCAGCTCCTGGGCCTCTTGGGTTTGTAGGTCAGGCCAAGCTCTGTGCTCTGTTTCCTCGGCTCGGTGCAGACATGGGGTTGTGACTCTTTCCCTTCTCCAGGTCTGGAGTTGGTGCCCCGGTGATCGGGGAGATCGATGGCGAATATCGCCACGACAGCCGGAGGAATCTCCTGGAGTGGTGCCTGCCAGTGATAGATGCCAAAAACAAGAGTGGCAGCCTGGAGTTCAGCATAGCAGGGCAGCCAAATGACTTCTTTCCAGTACAGGTCTCCTTCATCTCCAAAAAGAACTATTGCAACATACAGGTATGGTCACCTGGGAGCTGCGCTCACCGAGGAATGCTTGCAGACTGTGCTGTAGCTGCAATTAGACTGTCTGTGCTTGTGCCATGTGTTTGCCTCTGTCCTTGATGTTCTTTAGCTGTGCTGTTGTCTTCAGAAGAGCATGTCCCCCGCGGACAGTTTTTTCTTTACAGTGCTGTGACCTCTTGCTGTGCTTACGCACAGTGTGTTTGAGACTGCCCCTTCCTCTGCCTGTCAGAGTGAGAGCAGACAGCACCCGTATCTGGCTCCTGCAGGGGCTTAGTGCCTCACAGAGTGATTTTTACTTCTGTCAGGCTACCTCAGCATCCTCTGGCCAGAGACTTTCACAAACATTGACTTGTGATTCACAAGTTCTGGGTTGGTTCTGTCCTTCTTGACCGTGTCAGAGTTGGAAAGTTGTGCTTCTTGTGTTGGGAAGCGATGTTAAATGCTGACCTTGCTGTATGTGTTATCTCCACAGGTTACCAAAGTGACCCAGGTGGATGGAAACAGCCCTGTAAGGTTTTCTACTGAAACCACCTTCCTGGTGGACAAGTACGAAATCCTGTAATGCCAGCTGTGGGGAATTGCAAAGGAAATTTTTAAATTAAAAAAAAAAAAAAAGAGGCCGAAGTTTATTCAGAATGTTTGGAACACCACAGCCCTCTGCTGAGACACAAGGCTCTGTGTGCCATCTGCAGTGTCCTGGGTCACAGACTTTTTTGGCAGAGAATTGAACGTGTTCATGGGGGGGAAAGGCTACGAATTTCTTTGGCAGATTTTTACTGGCTAGCAGGAGAACAAGATCTCTGCACAGAACCTGGCTTTGACGCTTCCCCATTTCCCATGAAGATGACTGGAGCTCAGTCCCAGAGCCTACTTAGACATCACACCCGCCCGTTTTTAATTATCAAACACTGTTCCGTTGTTGGTGCTGCCATTTTAATTTCTCCTCAGCCTTCAACTCTTGCTTCTGGTGATGAAAACAAGCATTAAGGTAATGCACTCAGTGATGCAGTGCTTCTCTGGACCCTTCCATCTGGAAAGAAGTGGACTCGCTGCTCAGACCCGTTTGCATTGTTCCCTGCTGTGCGGCAGTGAGTTTCAGCCCCAAATCTGCAGGAGTCCTTTGGGCCTCTCCTGGTGTTGGTTTAGGTGGCACAGGCCGTGGCTCTGAGCGCTCCGATCTGCCCTGCGGGGAGAACAGCGCCCAGGGTGGCTGCCCCGAGGTTTGCCGTGTTGCAGAAACTCCCTGGCCAAGGCTCACGTCCTGGCTCAGGCTGAGGCAGCACCTTGGTAGGCTGAGCTGCTCTACCTGGCAGGGTGCTGGTGTGCACAGAGCCTGCTTTGCTTCACCTGCGCGCAGTGGGAGCGGGGTTGGGACCTGGCACAAACTGTGCTTTCTTGGTGCTTAGGAGCAGAGGCGAGGGAAGTGGTTTCCTGAAAGCCTGCTGGGTTGGTCTGAGCACGAGCAGCACCCAGAGCTGTTCCTCCTCTGCCTGCGTGGCAGCGCTTCGTCCCCCAGAGCTGTGCTCCCCCACGTCCATCCCAGCCGCCTGCTCTGGGGCAGTCACCAACTGCGCTCTGCAGGGCAGCTCCCCAGCTGCTGTGTGGGACGGGCTGCTGGGCTGAGCGTGGAGGTGAAGTGCGAGGGGTGTCCTGTCCTCACAAGTCCTGAACCCACGCGCTGTGCCCCAGAGATGCAGTGAGATGTGTTGGTTCCCATCGGGTCCTCTGCCAAAGAAGTTAGCGGTCTCTCCTCTGTTAACAGCGCCAGTGAGGAAATAAATGATCCTTTCCCTGGGGGGTGATGTGTTCTGGGGGAGGGAAAGCAAACCCTGTTCTGTAGTGAAGTAGACGATGAATCTTATTAATTCAGTTGTGTTCAGGAGTTGCTTGTCTGTACGATTTTAAAATGGAGTCGAGTTTAGTTCAAACATCAAAGGAGCATTTTTATTAAATTTGTCAGAGGGTAATATTTAAAAACCAGGACCCCAGTTTTTGTAACCCTGTACAATAATGGCCTAGGGAATAGAGCACATTCCAGTGTATACAAAGAATACAAATTCTTTAATCAAATAAAAAGAGTATTATAAAAGGAATCTGCCTGGCTTGAGTGGAGATGTGCGGGGTGGCCTGCAGAAGACTTGGGGGACAACAATCACTGCAGCACTGGCACCGCGTCCCTGCAGAGAAAGGCTCCAGGCAGAGCCAGCTGCAGCATCCGGGCCCAGGCTGGGATTTATGGCAGGGTGTATGGGAATAACCAACGAGAAAATGTTGAGTCTCCTGAACGTGACTTCCTCTTGTCTTCCTCTGCCGGAGTTGAGGAGCTTCCCAGCAGTGCAGGTGGAGGCAGATGGCAAAGGGACGAGGTGAAGTGTTTGGAATTGGCTCTGCTGCGTCCCCTGCCAAGGCTGAACCTGCAGGGCGGAGCTGTGCTGAAATATTCATGGGGCTTTCCTCGAGTAAACAGCATTAAAAATGCAGTGAGCGTTTGAGTAACAGCCATCAGCTGTGCCTCCTGGGCTGGAGGCGTGTGTAAAGAAGAGAAGTTTCTTTTCAAGCTGTGGGGCTGAAAAGTCTCCCCTTCCTGCAGGGCAGCAGCCATCTGTCATTCAGGCAGCAAGAAATTGGAAGAACAGCCGCTGCTGTTTGACTTTTACTCCTCCAGGTGTGCTGCAGCCTGAGGACCAAAGGGGAACCCGGCTTTGGGGCTGTTCCCCTGCAGCACCTGGGCTTTCTGCACCTGGCTGCAGATGGGCTGATGATAAGCAGCAGCTGTGGGCTGGCCCTTCTGGTCTGCCCAGCTCAACGTGCCCGCAGCCGTGAAGCTGCTCTGGGTGCTTCTCACAGAGGAGCTTTTGGGGGGGGTGAGAGGGGGATGGCAGCTGGGAGATGGGTTGGGAGCTGAAACAAGGAGCCCCTTCAGCACGCCCTGAGCTCTGCGGTGCGCATGGCACGGGGAGGGAAACCCAAGCTGCTGGGGGAAGCAGTGGCTGTGAGCACCGTGCTGGCATGGTGAGCAGTGCTGCTGAGCAAAGCTGGGCCTCTTCTGTGGCACCTGGGCTGTCGCTGATCTGCTCCCTGCTCCTTTCCCCAGGGTCCGGATGCAGCTGAGCACCGTCCCCACAACCTGCCTGGCACTGGGGATGCTGCACAGAGCTGTGGGAGCCCCGCAGCAGAGCTGAGGATGGAGCGCGGTGAGTTGTGTGTGGGCAGGGGAAGCGAGGGGCCTTGCCTGGGTCTCAGCCTCCTCCAGAACCCATGGCCTCATTGCATCACCTCTGGGCAAAGGGTTGGAAGGTCCCAGGTATAGGGGCACAGGGACCTGGGGATGTATCCGGAGAGCAGAGGGGTGAGGGATGGATGAGGAGGTGTTCATCTCTCTCTGTTTCCTAAAGATTCTGCCAATACCTCAGCCAAAACACTCTGCACCACCTGGAGGCTGCCGCTGCTGCTGCTCGGGGTCATGGGGCTGCTGGCAGCAGCAGTGGCTGGAGCCTGGCTGCTGGGTCAGTACCTGCAGAACAGCCTCAGCCCCCTGCCCAGCTCCCTGCCCAGCCGCGCTCATCACCTGCTGCTCTCCTCTCCTAAAGGGTGGCACCTCGGGGGCCCACAGCCACACGAGAGCTCGGCCAAGCCACAGGCATCAGACACTGTGACAGCATGCAGTGAGGGCGAGGAGGAGCAGCCCGTGGTCCGCGGGGCACCTGCAGGAGGTTTCCCCCTTCCCGCTGCCCCTGCTGAACCTGAGATACTCCTGGATAGTGAATCTCTGCTGAACCTCTCTCTTAGCTCAGCTGCATGCTGCAATGGTTTCACTTTGCTTTTACATCCCCCTGTGCTGCCCAGCAGCGGTGCATGGCGTGCTCCCACCTTTGCATGCTCCCTCCCAGCAAAGCCGGGCTGAGAACGCTTCAAAAGTTTTACACGGTTTATCATTCACTACAGATTGCTTTGCAGTTTGTTTCGCCGTAGGCCCCACATGAAGCACTGCAGAGAGGTGAGGTCAGTGCTGTCAGTGTCTTTCAGGATCCAGGCAGGTGCCTCCCTGCTGGCGGTGCGGCCGCAGGACCGGTCCGGATGGCTGCTGGCCTGCCACGAGCACTGGCAGCCCATGCTGGGCACACGGCTGTGCCGGCGCCTCGGGGCGCTCAGGTGGGTGCCAGTAGGGATGGGAGCAGGGCAGCAGCCCACCTCTCTCTGGGCTGCTGCTGTTCCTTCTGCAGAGCGATACATCAGAAGGGGGTGAACCTGACGGACGTGAGGGTGGAGGACGGGCAGGAGTTTGCCCAGGTGGGGTCCAGCCTGGATGACGCGTGGCAGATCAGGTGAGGGCAGGGCTGGGCCGTGCTGGAGGAACAGGCGGGCGCTGCCTTCACCCAGCAGGCAGCTCCCTGAATGCGGTCCCCACACACAGGAGCAGCTGCGAGTCGGGCCGCGTCGTGGCACTGCAGTGCTCAGGTGGGTTCCCCCTTCTTTGCACACCTGCGACCTCCACCCCTCGTGCCCACTGAGCTCCGGCCCTGCCACAGCCTGCGGGCAGCGCCCGGCACCCGGGGGCCGCGTGGTGGGGGGCGTGGATGCTGCCCCCGGGCGCTGGCCCTGGCAGGTGAGCATCCGCCACGGCTCCCGGCACCGCTGCGGTGGCTCCGTGCTGGCACCGCGCTGGATCGTCACCGCCGCCCATTGCGTGCACAGGTACAGGGCTGCCCTCGGCACGGGACCTGCGGTGGGGTCTCAGGGTCTGTGCTGGGGGCTCTGGGCTGCCCCGGGGGCCCTTCTGTCCCCTCAGCTACCGGTGGCAGAGCGCATCGGGCTGGACGGTGCATGCTGGTGTCGCTCATGGCTCGGCCACGCAGGAGGCCGGGGTGCCGGTGGAGAGAGTTATTTCTCACCCGCTGTACAACGATAACAGCATGGACTACGACATCGCTCTGATGAAGCTGCGAGTTCCCTTGAATTTCTCAGGTGAAGAGCTGCTGTGAGGCCCCTCGGCCTCTCCTGCCATGTGGGGAGCAGTGTGCGCAGCTGGGCTGTGCTTTGGGTGATGCCAGAGCTGCACGTTTCTGGAAAGGCACCCGGGGCTGTGCTACGAGCAGCTCTGGGCCCAGCCCATCCCCTCACCACCAGACGCCATTGGAGCTCTGTGCCTGCTGCCCTCCCACCAGGACCTGCTCCCAGGCACGCCGTGCTGGGTGTCGGGCTGGGGCTACACCAGGCCTGACCAAGGTAAGCCTTGTCCGTGCTCCCTGTCGGCCCTTCCTGTGCTGTGTGCGCAGTTCTGCCACTGCTTCTCCTCCTCTTGAAGCCCCATGAGTCCCTCAGTGTGACCCCATCTTCACACAGAATCACAGAATGGCCTGGGTTGAAAAGGACCAAAATGACCATTTAGTTTCAATCCCCTGCTGTGTGCAGGTCGCCAACCAGCAGCCCAGGCTGCCCAGGGCCACATCCAGCCTGGCCTTGAATGCCTGCAGGGATGGGGCATCCACAGCCTCCTTGGGCAACCTGTGCCAGTGCCTCACCACCCTGTGTGTGAAAAACTTCCTCCTATATCCAACCTGAACCTTCCCACCTCAGTTTAACACCATCCCCCTTGTCCCATCACCATCCACCCTTGTAAACAGCCATTCCCCCTCCTGTTTATACGCTTCCTTTAAGTACTTAAGACCACACTGAGGTCCTCCCAGAACCTTCTCTTCTCCAATCTAAATAATCCCAGTTCCCTCAACCTTTCCTCATAGGAGAGGTGCCCCAGCCCTCTGCTCATCTCAGTGCCCTCCTCTGGACCCGCTCCAAGAGCTCCACGTCCTTCCTGTGCCTCCTGTCCCCTCCTGCTCCCTAAGATCCCATTCCCTTCTTGCTTTCTCCCTCCCTCCCTCCCCAGCACAGCTCACCGAGACACTGAAGGAAGCCCTGGTGCCGTTGATCAGCACCCAGAGGTGCAACAGCTCGTGCATGTATGCAGGAGAGCTCACAGCCAGGATGCTGTGTGCCGGGTACCAGCAGGGGAAGATCGATGCCTGCCAGGTGATGGGCGGCCGGGGGCAGGAGCACAGCAGAGGGGCTTCGGGGCTGAGCGCCGCTGTGCTCCATCCCTGCTCTGTGCAGGGTGACAGCGGGGGCCCCCTGGTGTGCCAGGATGAGCTGGCGTGGCGCCTGGTGGGCATCGTCAGCTGGGGCCGGGGCTGTGCTGAGCCAAACCGCCCGGGGGTTTACACCAACGTGCCTCAGCTTCTGCCCTGGATTTATGGCGTCACTGAGGTACGGCTGCAGCAAACGGCAGCACTGCGTAGAGAAGCCCCACGGCCAGCGCTGCTCTCAGCACCCTGCCCTCACCCCAGTCCCTTTCCTTTCCTTTACCCAGATCTACTAGAAGCAAGGGGAAACCTCCCGCATCGACGTCTAAGTGAAGAAAAGCCCAGGGCTAATTCCCACTGCTCCTATGACCCCCAAAGGAACGGCCCCAGGCACCACCACAACACGTGGCCGCTGTGAACAGTTTATTAAAGAAAACAGCAAATTGCATTTCTGTGAATGATGCCCACGGGAGAAGCGGCATTTGGCTTTTTGCTGAGTGCTGTGTGTGAAAGGACAAGGACGCCCCAGATGAGTGGTGTGGGAACGTTGTGAGCCCTTGGCTGTGAGTGGGGAAGGGGGGAAATAATACACAAGACAAAAGGAAAAGCTGGAGGTCCAGGTGATGCCTGCCATCCCTGCTGCCTTCCTTGGATGCGGCGTGAGCTGCTGAGTTCTGCACGCATGGTCAGGAATGCAAAGAGAATTCAGATCAAAGCCCAAATGAAAAGGATCCAATGGTATTAAAATATTCAGCTCTCAAGGACTGAAACTTTTGTCTGCAAGCATTACATGGTAGGAAATAGTTTTTGTGCAGCAAGAGGTACGTTGTGGCCTCGGGGCTGTGGTTCAACAGCAGCTATGGATGAGTTTTCCAATTAAAATAAACACGTATTTCTCAAAGCCTTCTGTAAAGTAAAGGACAATGCTGTGAGTGCACACTTAATTCCCTTCTTGTGTTATCCACATTTATCTCATTCTTAAAGGACAGAAAAATTACTACTGCAAAGACAACAGATGCCAGATCTACTGCTGCATCAGCAGAAGGGGAAAGGAAGGAGCAGAACTGGCTTTCATAGCTGGCAGTGAGACTGAAGACAGAAAGTCAGGTTTAAGATATTTGCTATGAGAAATCAAGCACGAGGAATTTTGCCACTTGTGCAAAACACTCTGACCTGGTAAACAGCTGACATGGAATGAGGTCTCCTCTTCCCCACCTCCAGTTTCACTCCTTCAAGGTCTGCTCTGCAGGGAAACCTGAGCAGAACAGGTGGGGAAGAGCAGAATTTGGCACCTGAGCATTCTTAGGAGACCAAATGCTACCATCAACGTGGGTTTCATCTGTATTTGCAGGGACAGATGAGGTAAGAGACAAAGGGGCTGCGTGGCCCCTGATGTAAAACTGTAGGTAAGAAAGATTGATGGGTGAGAGACAGAAATCCCTCCATAGGCCCCTGAGGCAAACAAGCTTGAGATGACGTACAGCACCTGCATGACAGCCCCACCTGCAGCACTGCTCATTCTCACTAGGAGAAGCTGGAGAGAGGACTTGACTTATTGCCTATGCTGGGCTTACAGAAATGCAAGAGGATGGGATTTAGCAAACACAGAAAGCACCTCTTCTTTAGCAGGACTGCACACCCATGAGCTCAAAGCAAAACCCAGGATCTGTGCATAATGCCTCCAGGGAGGAAATGGCACTTTCAAGCCCAAATTCCACCTGCCTGGCAGATGGAGCAGAAGCAGTTAGTGTCCATGTGCTATTCACCTTTGATTTCCTGGTCTGAGACTCACAGAGCCAAACCATTTGCCCTAAACACAGGGAGGAAATACAGGAAACCTCTCCCTCAGTCAAGCCCCCAGGAAGCACACATCCAATGCTACGCTTTTATAGTCCAGTACAAGAAAGGTCAAATCTGAAAGAAATAGATCAAAGATTCAGTTCGCTGTCCTTTATCAGAAGATGCAACATGTAGGAGGTAGCAGAGCTACTTGATCTTGGCCAGTGCTGCTGCTCTCCTTTCTGTGTTCTGGAACAAGGCTCGGATCAGACCCTTCACTTCTGCTGGGGAGAACTCAGCTGCAAGAGGTCCCTTCCCATCTGCCCACCTACAAGGGAGAAAGAGCTTTGGTTAACAAAACTGCATGGTAACCTCACACTGAAACAAACCTTTGGGGCTTTCACAGAGTCACAACAGCTCTCCAACTCCTGTGATGAATGGTTAAAGCAGATTGAAACGCATCAAGCATTTACAAGCATGGAACAGTGCTAAGCCTGGAAGCAAAACAAGTTGGTTGCCTATTAGCTGCACGCAACCTGAGTCCAGAATTACTTAATTAGGTATTTAAAGCACTCTTCTCAGTTGAGCCTGCAGATACCTACTGATCTACTATTTCTTGGAGGTTGGCCTGCAGGATGATCATCAGCTCTTTGAATGTCATCCACTTCTGCACGTAGACTGGAACCTCCTCTTGGTATTTCTTGTTCTTGTCCTCTTCAGGCAGCGGAGTGAAAACTTGAGGTCCCTCCTCCACCATGATCCTACAGAGCGAGTACAGCCTGTCTGCATCTTCTGCAGAGATGTCCTAGAATTGAACAAAGAATGTCCAAGAATGGAACAAATCGCTCACAAAAGAGCTGCTGGACGTGATTTTGGATCACTAGACAGTAAGTGAAATGAAGGCAAAAACCAACTCGAACCCCAAAATGGGGCTGTGTGCATGAAGGCAAAAAGCATTTCATATTCTCAAGCAAATGTATTTCACAAATACTATTTAACCAAGTTCTCTGCAGTCACCTCAGAACAAGGCTTGTGCTTCTCAAGAGCAGATTCACTGCGAGGCAGAGTGGTTATGAAGAAGGTCTGAGTGGTTTATGAGGAAACACAGGGAATGCCAGCACAGCAAAGAAAGCAAAGCTTTTTGGCAGGCACAGCATAAGACAGCATCCCAGCTGCTACAGGAAAAGCCCTGTTCACCTAACTGACAGCAAAGGGCCTTCAAGATACAGACCAAAACTGGCTCCCCTGAAACCTCAGCTTGTAAAGAGCTCCTGGAGGTCACCAATGTTCAGACCACGCTTCTGCTTGGCATGTCCACATCATGCAGTTACCTCCAGGGCAGCAATCCTAGTGACCATTTCGGAGAGCGCTGTGTTCAGTAAGGTGCCCATGGCCTTGCAGTACACGTTCACTGGAAGGACATCCTGCCAGACTTTCCCCAGTCTTTTCAGCTGATGCAATACCTGCAGTGTAACAGCCACACGTTACCCACGTGCTACCAAGAAGAATGTTGAAGAAGCACACAATGATACGGGCACTGCACACAGACCAAAGCAAGTTCTAAAGAAGAGTAAGGCAATGAAGTACCACATTCAGCAGGTGTTCCTTAAAAGAAAGCAATGGCTTCAGTTTGCATTGCAGCTTATCAGAAACTGGACACCTTTTCCTTGAACAACGGAACATGGAGATGAAGTACGGGAAAACTTCATGTTTAAGAAACTGCTGCCTTGGTGCAAGCAGACTTGAACTCAGCATCCCACAGAATGAGGCAGAGCCCAAGGGCAGCATCTACAGACAACAGCACATCCAGCTTCAGCTTTGCCTCGCCTACCTGCCTTATGGCTTTGTTTGCTGCAGAGTAATTTTCCTCATCATCCATATTAGAAAAATTCCTGGCACTTGACAGCCTCTCCAGGATTTCTCCTTTCTGCACTCGCATCTGGGCCAGAAAACACTCCATGCCTTTAGGAGAAAAAAACAAGCAGAGAGAAGCAATTAAGGCATTATTTGTTTGCTCTGCTGACGCTGATTTAGAGACTAAGTGCAGAATAATAAACCTGCCATGATGTTGTATTTTTAATAGAAATTTCCAGTCTCCAGTCATTCTCACAGAGCCAATTCAACCAGGCCCAGCCACTGCATTCAATAAACTCTTGCACAGCTTGGACTCAGAAAGCTGAGCAGCAGGGCTCACTGTGGATCACAGACTCCTGTTAAGCTAATGGCAGCTTATTTCAGAACATGCTCCCAAAGAACAACCTAAAGAAAGTGTCAGAAGAATCAGCAGCAGATCCCCAAATATCTGTGTGCCACAACACCTCACTGCTAACAGTCTGCTCTTAGAACTATGCACCAGACAAGGTGAGCCCTGTTTAAATAGCCCAGTCCTGTACAGCTGTACTGCTTAGAGCCAGGAGCTCCACACACTTCCCTACCAAGATTTCCTTGCCCCAAACTCGTAAATAACAGATTAACAGTCTGAGTCAGTGGATACATTCTGAATCATTCAGCAACAAAACCCAGCATTAATTACCACATCACCTATCGAGGTACTTCAAGACTGAAAAGTAAAATTACCAAGTCTCCTAAAGCCAGGCACCAGGTCGACAAAAGTAGCTGCTCCATCACACAGGATGCTGGTCAGGCGGTACCGGAACTGATGCCCCATGGTGAGCAGGTGGTGAGCGATGTACATGCAGTTGTTGTGGTGAATAGCTGCGAGCTGGGGCAGTTTCTGGAGGTTCTCTCTGTCTCAGGAAGGAGAGGAGAGGAAGAAATGTATGTATTTAGGCCTGGCTCTGTTAAACTGACATAACAGAAACAGTGTGACTGAAAGCGATGTTGCAAAGGAGGCACTGCAAGCAATGCTTGATAAGGCCACCAGCTGGAAGAGAAGTATACAATCCTCAGTGCTGCTCTTACAGGGAAAGCAAGATGAAAAATCTTAAAGGCCACCCCATGACAAAGCCAAGGGGGAGGGCTCCATTCAATAGCTGGACATGACAGAGGTTTATACTGAAGATGCAGCTTCAGCTCACGCTGCCTGTGCTCCCACCCATGCAAGGGCCAGCAGGCACAGAGCCAGTCTCATTCATGCCAAAAGAAATATGAAAAGCCATCTCCTTGATCATAAGACCACCAGCTAAGAAACTCTCAAGCAAATAATTTGCAACAGGTATGATTTATTTAGGGGGTAAAAGCATCAGCTTTTTCCCAGCGGAGGAAGTCCTCAGCAGCTTTTGGACTCGCTGGACAAAAGAGAGATGGAGTGGGATGGTTCCAACAGTGCTGTGCTGACTGCAAAGCAGGCCTGAAGTCACACATCACACACTTACTTGTGGTACGTTGGCACTACATCATAGAACAGCTGGAATATATTCCTCACGGAGTAGAAGAGCTGTATGCAGCTACAAGGAAAACAAGGCTCACGTCAGTTTGTCTGAATTAACATCTGTGCACCCAGCGACTCTCGCCCCTCTCTTAAAAAAGGTTTGGTTAGTGGTAAAGTACATCCTCCTTAATGAACAAATGAAAAAGCAACCAGGGAATGGCAATACAGGCAACATCCTCCACAATTCACAAAGGCTTCTCACAAGAGCTGTGATGACCTTGAAAGTTCAGCGTGGAGGAGAT